CTCCACCTTCGGACGAGTCCGTAGAGCCGAGTGGTCCATACCCAGAGCTTGTGGGTTGCCTCATGTACCTGATGACGTGCACACGACCTGACCTCGCGTACCCTCTCAGCTTCCTGGCTCGCTACGTGGCTCCCGGTAGGCATCGAAAGATGCACTGGGATGCTGCGAAGAGGGTATTGTGTTACTTGTGCAGCACATCGGGCATGGGGCTCGTGCTTGGAGGACGGGGTTCAGTTGTTCTCACTGGTCACTCAGACGCTTCTTGGGCTGACGACTAGACTACTCACCGATCGACACAGGGGTACAGTTTCAGCCTCGGCACTGGTTCTGTCTCGTGGAGGTCCACTCGCTCTTCCTCTGTACTTAGTTCCAGCTGTGAGGCCGAGATCTATGCTGGGGCTATGGCTGCACAGGAGCTCCGGTGGCTGACCTACCTGCTGACCGACCTGGGTGAGCGGCCTCGTTCTCCTCCAGTTCTGTACGTCGACAACAAGGCCATGATTGCCTTGTGTCAGGACCAGAGACTGGAGCACAGAACGAAGCACATTTCTCTCCGCTACTTCCTCACGCGAGAGCTGCAGTAGCGTGGTCAGCTTCGTCTTGCTTACGTGGCCACTCGGGCCAACACTGCTTATGTTTTCACCAAGGCCCTTGGGTCTAGTGATCATCAGCGTTTCTGCACTGCACTTGGGTTTGTGCCCACTCTGCCTCACTTGCTTGTCTCTTGATCTTGCTCTTGTTGTACACTGATATATATGAGTATACATGCATGCTTACACTTGCTAGGTTGTGATCAATACACTGCTCTTTGCTATTATAAACTCTGCATGTGAATTGGCCTTGTGGCCGCTTGCTTATGCTCAGAATGCGTGGTGACCTTGTGATCCACCCTGAGCTTTGCTTTGCATTATTCTCTTGCTTGACTGGTCTTGTGACCATCCGTTGTGTTTGCTATCCCCCACTTTGCCTATGAGGGTGTGTCAAATTGCATTTGTTCTGTAGCCTGTAGTGGGGCATACCCTAAAGGGTACAACACATTAGGGTTAGGCTATACAATCCTGTCTTGCCCTTCCTACTAGTTCATTCTTACATTCTAACATGTATAAATTTGAGATATCAATTAACAAAGGTCATGGATCCTTCAAATATACATACACGCCATGCGGCAAATACAAATTGCCATCCAAATTTTCCTGTTTTGCTGCCAATCGATGCATATTGACTCTCTCTCTCTCTCTCTCTCTCTCTCTCTCTCTCTCTCTCTCTCTCTCACTCTCTCTCTCTCTCTCTCTCTCTCTCTCTCTCTCTCTCTCTCTCTCTCTCTCTCTCTCTCTCTCTCTCTCTCTCTCTCTCTCTCTCTCTCTCTCGTTATATTCCATGAGAACCGGAAGTAGTCACTTCATGCATCATGCGAGCATTGTATTCACTGAAAGTGACGATGCATAGTTGTACTATGAAGATGTTTCTGTTGAAGGAACCATAGTGTTTATTGTAATACATGGATCCCGTAATTAGACGACCTATTATTTGAACCATGAGATTCAAAAGTGTCAGAAATAAGGCCGTGGTGCAGATTGCCTCAGATTGAGGCTGATCTACGATTTCTTGAAAGTCGTATTGGCCTTTTTAAGTGATCGGGGGACAATCTCTCGATTGCGATTAATGTCCTGGTCCCACCCCACTGATCGCTTCGATTCAATGCAATCGAATGTGGTTGAGTAATCAGTAGATCGGGCCCGATCGGGCCTTACTGGAAATATCCACGACTAGTAATTAACCCATGTCAACTTCACTTCAGCTCGCCGCAATTGTGTTATGCGCGGTGTGAATATTGGCGTGCGATAAAAGTGGTTTACAATGTGATTGCGCGTTGCAGTAATTTTATGAATCTCGCTGACTCCAGTGTAGAAGGGGCGTGGCTCGGGCGTGGAAAATTTGCTGGTGGTGCTGGCATTTTATTTCAAAATCAACCTCAGCGTGGAAAAACTACAGAGCGCCTCAGATCGAGGCAATCCGATCTGATCTATAACTACCAGCCTCGATATGAGGGGATCTGCATCATGGCCTAAGGTGAATGAATAGCAATTTATTTATTTATTTTCGTATGTATTTTAAGAAGGCATAGAAACATTTGTATGGAAATTCAGTTGAAATGTTGTTGCTCGTTTGAGAATCTAGTGTCTAGCTCAAGTATGTCTCTTAATCCAAATAAATTATACGATTTAGTATGACAATTCAACCTTGCGTGGTTGTTTTGTCTGAAAAAACATACTGCTGCAATATATGCGGAGGAATAGAGAGGGGCAACATTTTCGTCAAAATGTCAGACGGGCCCATATTCTACGAAGAGCCCCACATATATCCACTTTCACTATAGATCACCGCCCCATACTTTTTATTTTCATTTAATCACAAAATCTTGATATCGCTAGGTGTACAAGCATACTAGCTGTCAAACATTATATATGTTACTGCTGTGTAGGCTACAGTGGGTTAGCCTTTAGGGGGTACATTACTCTAGGGTTTCCTACTTGTATCCCCAACCTTTCTAGTTCAAACACTCTTGCTAATTCTAACATGGTATCAGAGGACGGTCTCGTGCGTTAGAGAGCGACACGAGCAGGGGGCCGACAGCTGACCTGACGCAGACGCAGACGCAGCTACCTGAGGGGACTCAGTGGTCAGTGGGTACAGGTCCGACCCCGGCTGCCGAGTGAAGGTAGCCAGGTGACGGCCCGTCCGAGCACACGTGCAGTGTGTCACGCGCTCGTAGGCAGGGGTGAACTGGTGGACACCCCCGTCCTGGAGCGCACAACCCGCCACCAAGTTCGTAGAGAACGAGGGGAGGTGGAGACCTGACAGTGTGCCCGACGGAACCGCAGGACAAGGGAGGACAGTGGAGGAGGTCGCAATGACCGGACCCCCAGAGGGGTCAGCGAGGGACACAGCAACTGGCCGAGCAAGCTGCTCAAGGGCAGTGTGGTCACGAAAGAAACAGCGGGAAGCACCCGAGTCCAGTGTGAAGGTGTGCAGTGCCTTAGTAGACGTAGTACCAGCAGGCGCAGACTCACGAGCACCTAGAGCAGCAGCCTCACCAGCACCTAGAGCAGTAGCCTCACTAGGACCTAGGGCAGCAGACGCACTAGCACCTAGAGCGGCAGCCTCACCAGTACCTAGAGCAGCAGACTGGATACCGGGGTCAGGCGGCACACACAGGTGACAGGCACTCTCAGCACCAGTAGGACGACGCTGTAGCTGCACCTGGCCACTACCAGAAGCTCCCGAACTACCCACTCCAGTGCGACTCCCACTACGGCCACCCCGATAACCCCAACTAGCGTACCACTCACGAAGCTGCTGGGGCGAAAGAGCCTCGCGGGGACTACGCTGCAGCTGCACCTGGCCACTACCAGAAGCTCCCGAACTGCCCACTCCAGTGCGACTCCCACTACGGCCTCCCCGATAACCCCAACTAGCATACCACTCACGAAGCTGCTGGGGTGTGAGGGACTCACGCGGACGGCCCTAGAGCTGCATCTGGCCAAGCCAGGTGCAGCAGTAGCAGCAGTAGCAGCAGTAACAGTAGTAGCAGGAGGAGCAGTAAAAGCAGTAGCAGCAATAGCAACGGTAGCAGCGCGGGCAGGGCAGTGCTCACCAGTGGTGGTAAGGGCAGGCGCAAGACGGCGGCGACAGCGGGGCCGCCACAGCTGCAGGGCGGGGCCGGGCCGCGGCAGTAGCTGCTCCAGGGGCCAGGGGCGGCTGCTGCAGGGGCGGCTGCTGCAGTGGCGGCTCCTGCAGTGGCGGCTGCTCCAGGTGGCCAGGGGCGGCTGCTGCAGGGGCGGCTGCTCCAGGGGCCAGGGGCGGCTGCAGGAGAGGCAGCTGCTCCAGGGGCCAGGGGCGGCTGCTGCAGGGGCGGCTGCTCCAGGGGCCAGGGGCGGTTGCAGGTGCGGCTGCTCCAGGAGCCAGGGGCGGCTGCTGCAGTGGCGGCTGCTCCAGGGGCCAGGGGCGGCTGCTGCAGGGGCAGCTGCTCCAGAGGCGGCTGCTCCAGGGGCCAGGCGCGGGGTAGGTCAGGGCGACGCAGCGGGCAGCGGGCAGGGGCGACGCGCGGGCAGGGGCGACGCGGCGGGCAGGGCGACGCGGCGGGCAGGGGCGACGCCGCGGGCAGGGGCGACGCGGCGGGCAAGGCGACGCGGCGGGCAGGGGCGACGCCGCGGGCAGGGGCGACTCGGCGGGCAGGGCGACGCGGCGGGCAGGTGGCGACGCCGCTGGCAGGTGGCGACGCCGCGGGCAGGTGGCGACGCCGCTGGCAGGGCGACGTGGCGGGCAGTGGGGCGCGACCGCGTTACTGCAGGGCGGGGCCGCGACTGCGACCTGACGGGGCCGCGACAGCGACCTAACGGGGTCGCGCGCTGGCCTGACGGGCCTGCAGAGGCTGCGTGCGGGCGGCGAGGGCCTGCAGGGGCGGCGCGCGGTCGGGCAGAGGCTGCGCGCGGGCCTGACGGGCCTGCAGGGGTGGCTCTCGGGCCTGACGGGCCTGCAGAGGCGGCTCGGGGGCCTGACGGGTCTGCAGAGGCGGCTCGGGGGCCTGACGGACCTGCAGGGGCGGCTCGAGGGCCGTACTAGCTTGCAGGGGCGTCGCACTGGCCTAGGGCAGCAAGAGGCAGCACAAGGGCTGCAGGACGGCACGCGGGCAGAAAGAAGGGCGGGGCGCGCGAGGGCGCACTAGCAGAAAAAAGGGCGCACGAGGGCGCACGAGCAGAGAAAGGCGCACGAGGGCGCACGTAAGGTAGGGCGCACGAGGGCGCGTCTTTGGTCACCCGTCAGTGCAGCGCCTTCGTGGCATGCACAAACGGTACCTTGTCTCTGGTCTTCCCAGGGTTCTCCCTCCCCTCCCACCCTCGCCTGCTCCTCCCTGTCTTCCCTGTGTCGAGGGGCGGCAGCGCGCCGCTCCTCACTCCTCCTCGTTTCCCCCGACGACTGCTCCCTTGCAGACACTCCACATGGACGTGTGGGGCCCAGCCCGCATCCGTGGACAGGGTCAGGAGAGGTACTTCTTGATAGTTGTTGACGACTACTCGCGCTACACCACGGTCTTCCCCTTGCGCACCAAGGGTGAGGTCCCTGATGTTTTGATCCCTTGGATCCGCGCTTCTCGTCTCCAGCTCAGCGAGCGGTTCCACTCGGACTTTCCTGTCCTGCGTCTGCACTCTGACAGAGGTGGGGAGTTTCCCTCTGACCTCTTGAGGGCCTTCTGTCAGGGGGAGGGCATTGAGCAGTCGTTTACGCTTCCGGCCTCTCCACAGCAGAATGGGGTTGCTGAGCGCCGCATTGGCTTGGTCATGGAGGTCGCTCGTACCTCCTTGATCCATGCGGCTGCCCCCCACTTTCTGTGGCCGTTTGCGGTCCGATACGCTGCGCATCAGCTCAACCTCTGGCCCCGTGTCTCCGTTCCGGAGACTTCGCCGACACTGCGTTGGACGGGAGAGGTTGGCGATGCGTCGCGTTTTCGGGTCTGGGGATCTCGAGCTTTTGTTCGCGATACGTCCGCGGACAAGCTCTCCTCCCGCGCTGTTCCTTGTGTCTTCCTTGGCTTTGTCCCGGACGCGTCTGGTTGGCAGTTTTACCACGCCACCTCGCGCCGTGTCCTGCCCTCTCAGGACGTCACTTTTGACAAGTCGGTGCCCTACTACCGCCTCTTCCCCTACCGCACTGCCCCGCTCCCCTCCCCGCCTCTCTTCCTCGCGCCAGGTGCTGCTGTGGTAGACCCCCTCCCCCCTCAGGGTGCCGCTCCCTCAGGTGTGTCCCAGGTAGACCCGGTTGAGCCTGTCGAGGTAGCTGTCGACTCTCGTCCTGCTAGGGGTGCTGAGCCTGAGCGTGCGGAGCCTGGGGGTGCGGAGCCTGGGGTTGCGGAGTCTGGGGGTGCTGAGCTTGGGGGTGCGGAGCCTGCGGGTGCTGAGTCTGGGGGTACTGAGCCTGGGAGTGCTACGTCTGAGGGTACTGAGCCAGAGGGTGCTGCGACTGAGCGTGCTACACCTGGAGGCGCTCCCTCCTCACAGCAGCTGCGTGAGTGGTACTTACAGTACTGCAGCCTCAGGAGGGGTGCTTCTGGAGCTAGGGGTGCTGCTGGAGCTGGTGCTCGTGCTTCCCCTCCTAGGCGGGAGCCGCCCTCTCCCCAGCGGCTCCGAGAGTGGTACGCTCGGCGCTGCAGTCTCCGGAGTGGCGCTACTAGTGTCGCGGACCCTGGAGCTGGAGCTGGTGCTGGTACTGGTGCTGCTGGTGCTGGAGCTGCTGGAGGTGCTGCTGCTGCTGGCGGTGCTGCTGGCGCTGCTGGAGGTGCTGCTGGTGCTGGTGCTGCTGGAGCTGCTGGAGGTGCTGCTGCTGCTGGCGGTGCTGCTGGCGCTGCTGGAGGTGCTGCTGGTGCTGGTGCTGCTGGTGCTGCTGGAGCTGCTGGAGGTGCTGCTGGCGGTGCTGCTGGCGCTGCTGGAGGTGCTGCTGGTGCTGGTGCTGCTGGAGCTGCTGGAGGTGCTGCTGGTGCTGGTGCTGCTGGAGCTGCTGGAGGTGCTGCTGCTGCTGGAGCTGCTGGAGGCACTACCACTGCTGGTGGTGCTGCTGGAGCTGCTGGAGGTGCTGCTGGTGCTGCAGCTGCTGGAGGTGCTGGTGCTGCTGGTGGTGCTGCAGGTGCTGGAGCTGCTGGAGCCGCTGGTCCTGGAGGTGCTCGTACAGGAGGTACTGGAGCTGCTGGGACTGGAGCTGCTGAGGGGGTTGGAGCTGGAGGTGCTGAGCGGCCGCGGCCGTACTACGTTCCGCTCCTTCAGCAGGTTCTTGGTCTCCCGCCCTCTACTGGTCCTACTCCTCCCCTACTGAGTCCACCGCCTGTCCAGTCGCAGTCACAGTTACAGCCTGCCTCTCCGCTGCCTGGTCCTTCTCCTTACACTGCGCCGACGGGTAGTTTTACGGAGCGTCGTGAGCCTGAGTCTCGTCCTCCGTCGCCTGAGTCTAGTCCAGAGTTGCCTGAGTCGCGTCCAGAGTCACCTGTCCGCGCTGTCCGCGCTGGTCGTCGTGCTCCGCGTCAGCGTCCTCCTCCTGTCCTTGGCACTCACTATATAACCCAGCGTCCTTCCACTGCTCCACAGCGTGTCCCTCTGCCGTCTCCTCCTGCGTCCTCTCTTCCTGACGTTGCTGACCCGCCGTCAGACCTTGCTCGTGCTGCCAGTCCTACTGTCACGCGTTTCCTTGCTACTGTTGTCACTGACCCTACCTTTGAGTCCTCTGCTGCGTCTGCTCTAGTCGCTGAGCTTGTTGACTTTGCTGCCGCCTGTCGTCTAGACTACGCCGCTAGCCTTGTTGCTGAGTCTGAGTCTGTCTGTCCTCCGTCCGTCGGGGGTGAGTGTGCTCTTGGCACGGACGTCCTTGAGGACAGACAGGAGGAGTTTGAGTGCTTTGCTGCTGCTTTACGTCATCTCGTGTCCATGCTGATTGCCCCTGAGGGAGACCCGGATGCACCAGACATCCCGACCCCACGCTCTTACGCAGAGGCGATGGAGGGTCCCTACTCCTCTCAGTGGCAGACAGCCATGGACGCAGAGATGGCTTCCTGGAAGTCCACAGGCACCTACGTCGACGAGGTTCCCCCACCTGGGGCGAACATCGTCAGTGGCATGTGGATTTTCAGAGTGCAGCGGCCACCGGGTTCTCCGCCTGTCTTCAAGGCGCGGTACGTTGCACGAGGCTTCAGTCAGCGAGAGGGAGTTGACTTCTTCCAGACCTTCTCCCCAACCCCGAAGATGACCACTCTTCGGGTTCTGCTGCACGTCGCCGCTCAGCGTGACTACGAGCTCCACTCTCTTGACTTCAGCACTGCTTTCCTACAGGGCAGCCTGCACGAGGAGATCTGGCTGCGCCGCCCACCTGGCTTCACTGGGTCGTTCCCTCCTGGTACCCAGTGGAGCCTCCGGCGGCCAGTCTACGGTCTCCGCCAGGCACCCCGTGAGTGGCACGACACACCGAGGACTACTCTTGCTGCTCTTGGGTTTGCTCCTTCCACTGCTGACCCGTCGTTGTTTCTACACACCGACACCACTCTGCCGCCGCTCTACGTTCTAGTGTACGTAGACGACCTGGTCTTTGCTACTGCTGACACTGAGGCACTCGCCCACGTGAAGTCGGAGCTACAGAAGAGACACACGTGCACAGACCTGGGTGAACTGACAAGCTATCTTGGCTTGCGGATCACCCGGGACAGAGCACAGCGCACCATCACCTTGACTCAGTCACACATGGTGCAGCAGGTCCTTCAGCGCTTCCGCTTCACGTACTCCTCGCCTCAGCCCACTCCTCTGCCTACCGGTCACTCGCTCTCAGCTCTGCCTTCGGATGAGTCCGTAGAGCCGAGTGGCCCGTATCCAGAGCTTGTGGGCTGCCTCATGTACCTGATGACCTGCACTCGACCTGACCTTGCATACCCTCTTAGCATCCTAGCACGCTATGTCGCTCCTGGCCGTCACCGGAAGGAGCACATGGATGCCGCTAAGAGGGTGTTGCGCTACTTGTGCAGTACGTCGGGCATGGGGCTTGTGCTTGGAGGACGGAGAGACGTTGTCCTCACTGGGCACTCAGACGCTTCTTGGGCTGACGACCAGGCTACGCAGCGGTCGTCTCAGGGTTACACCTTCAGTCTTGGCTGTGGTTCAGTTTCTTGGCGTTCTACTCGCTCGTCTTCAGTTCTCAGCTCCAGTTGTGAGGCTGAGATCTACGCCACAGCCATGGCTGCACAGGAGTTACGCTGGCTCACCTACCTGCTGACCGACCTGGGAGAGCGGCCTCGTTCTCCTCCAGTGCTGTACGTCGACAACAAGGCAGCCCTTGCCTTGTGTCAGGAGCACAGACTGGAGCACAGAACGAAGAACATCGCTCTGCGCTACTTCCTTGCTCGAGAGCTGCAGCAGCGTGGTCAGCTTCGTCTTTCGTACGTGGCCACTCGGGCCAACACTGCTGATGTGTTCACCAAGGCGCTTCCGCCTTGTGATCATCAGCGTTTCTGTACTGTTCTAGGCCTTGTGCCTACTGTCCCTCACTTGCTCACTTCTTGACTCTGCTTGTACTGTGATCTCTATATATATACCTGCATGCTTACACTTGCTAGGTTGTGATCACTGTACCTCTTGTTATATTATCAAACTGCATGTGAACTGGTCTTGTGACCACTTGCTTGTGCTCGGAATTTGTGTGGTATCCTTGAGATCCACCCTGAGCTTGTTTTGCTTTGCTTTGCTCTGACTGGTCTTGTGACCCCTTGCTCTCCCCCACTTCGCCTATGGGGGTGTGTCAAACATTATATATGTTACTGCTGTGTAGGCTACAGTGGGTTAGCCTTTAGGGGGGTACATTACTCTAGGGTTTCCTACTTGTATCCCCAACCTTTCTAGTTCAAACACTCTTGTTAATTCTAACACTAGCGCATGCTACTGTAGGTTGCATGCATGCACTCGTAGTCTACATGCCAGCATGAGTAGGGGAGCCTTGATTAGAAACCAATCTGAATTGTCCTTTCGGCACATTGAGTTCCAATGACATATACACCGCTCCTAATCTCCCACCAACATCTTCATGATTTATTTTGTTCCTTTTCCATTGAGATTTGATTGTCGGAATTGCTGGTTTTGTGTGCGTCAAGGCTATTATCTTGTGGTTTTAGCAGGATGTGCATGTTCTGTGCATGTATTAATTTGTGTGTGCGTGCGCGTGTGTGTACGCGCGTGCGTGTGTGTGTGTATGCGTGCGAGTGTGTGTGTATGTGTATGTGTATGTGCGTGTATGCATGCATGCGTGTACGCTTATGTGTGTATGTATGTGTGTGTATGTGTGTATGTGTGTGTGTGTGTGTGTGCGTGTGAGTGTGTGTGTGTGCATGCGTGTGTGTGTATGTGTGTGTGTGTGTGGATGCATCTATGTGTGCGTTGTTGTTGTTGTTGTTGTTGTTGTTGTTGTTGTTGTTGTTGTTGTTGTTGTTGTTGTTGTTGTTGTTGTTGTTGTTGTCGTTGTTGTTGTTGTTGTTGTTTCTGTTCAAACAACGAGTTAACTAGAAACTTAGGGCGTATTCCTGGCTTCGGGTCATCCCGTCTTCGGGTCATCCCGAATTAAAATTTCGAACCGCGGGTTTTTCGACTCGAGCTTCGGGTGTTCCGCCTCGGGAGTTTGCGAGCTTCAGCGAACATGGTAAACGAAATCTGTTTTACCCCTGCAAAATTGTCGTGAGCCTGCAGTGCGAGATCGCAGACGATGCGACAAATTTCACATTGAAAATTTTGTGCAACATTGCACATTCGAGGCTCGCGCAGAATCGTAATCGCTCGCCAGTTTGCTCTGGCGATCGGTAATTTCAGTGTCGAGAGCTGCGATTTCAGGTAACCCTCAAAATATTTGTCTAAAAAAATCGTTAACAATTTCAGGTTGTTGACCCGAGCTGCTCCATTGCAGCTCGTGTCTTCCCAAGATTTCGGATGACATTTTTAGCGGATGACCCGAAGCCAGGAATCCGCCCTTAGGGTTTACAAACCATGGCGAGAGGATCAGAGCAGCGTGAGGAAGATTGACAAAAAGGGTTCACTTAGTCAAGAAACTGTCAGAATGTTGTATTTGTTTAGCCTGCAGTGGGGTACTCTATAGCGAGTACAGCCCAATTTAGGGTTTGCTATATGTACTCAACTGCCTGCTAGTGAAATCCTTTTTTCTCATTCTAACTTTCCTCGTTATTATTCTCACATGGTTTCAGAGCAGGTCGACCCTCCCTGGTCGATCCTGTGGATGGGCCCACCCGATGCTTCCGCTGCTGTACTGCCTGTCGCGCGCCCGGGGCGCGCAACGTTTTCTGCCTGCCGCGCGCTCGTGGCGCGCGGCGTTTTTTCTTCCCGCCGCGTGCTCGGGGCGCGCGGCGGTTTTCTGCTCGTCGCGCCGCCCTGCTGGTCGCGTTCTGCTCTGCCCTGTCCGTGGCGCCGCCCTGCTAGCCGCGCACCGCCCTGCCCTGAACGTCGCGGCGCCCTGGGGGCCTGCGCGAGCCCCCCCCCTCCCGTCGCCCGTCGTGGCGCCTCAGGGGCCCGCGCGTCAGCCCCTCCCGTCGCCCCGTCGCGGCGCCCTGGGGGCCCGCGCGCGGCCCCCCTCTCGTCGCCCGTCGTGGTGCCCCGGGGGCCCGCGCGTCAGCCCCTCCCGTCGTCCCGTCGCGGCGCCCTGGGGGCCCGCGCGCGGCCCCCTCCCTTCGCCCGTCGTGGCGCCCCGGGGGCCCGCGCGTCAGCCCCTCCCGTCGCCCCGTCGCGGCGCCCTAGGGGCCCGCGCGCGGTCCCCTCCCGTCGCCCGTCGAGGCGCCCTCGGGGGCCCGTGCGTCGCCCCCTCCCGTCGCCCGTCGAGGCGCCTCGAAGGCCCGCGCGTCGCCCCCCTCCCGTCGCCCGTCGAGGCGCCCCGGGGGCCCGCGCGTCACCCCCTCCCGTCGCCCGTCGAGGCGCCCCAGGGACCAGCGTGCCGCCCCGCTTCCGCTCGCCCGCTACCCGCGCTCCTGCCCCGTGCTGCCTGTGTTAGGGTTTGGGGGTGGCGAGTCTGGGGGTGTGTGCGCCGTCCACTGCTCCTCCTCCTCCTCCGTCTCCCACTGCTGCAGCTGCCGCTGAGGGGGGTGGATGTGTGGGATCCGTCGGAGTGGTACTAGGGGGGTGGCGTGTGAGCAGTGCTAGGGGAACAACAGGGGGTGTGTGAAAGGGGTGTGGGACATCTGGGGGAGGTTGAGTGGAGGCAGCCGTCTAGTCGTCCGCAGCGCCAGTAGTCCGGAGGCTACAATCTCCGGTAGTCGCCAGTCGCCCGTGGGTCAGTTGCTCCAGCCGCCAGTAGTCCGGAGGCTACAATCTCCGGCGTAGCCGCGGAGCCAGTTACTCCTGAAGTCCGGGCCTTTGCTTCGGTAGCCACTGAGCCAGCCGCTAAAGTGTGTCTGCAGCTTCAGCAGCCGCCTCCCATCTTCTCGCCCCCACAGTCTCTCCTCCTCCTCACTTGCCCTCTGTGACTGCCTCTAGCTTTACTTGTGCTTGTGAACTATTGCTCTGCCTGCTTATTGTGCTGATTACACCCCACTTTGGCTATGGGGGTGTGTCAGAATGTTGTATCTGTCTAGCCTGCAGTGGGGTACTCTATAGTGAGTACAGCCCAATTTAGGGTTTGCTATATGTACTCAACTGCCTGCTAGTGAAATCCATTTTTCTAATTCTAAGTTTCCTCGTTATTATTCTCACAGAAACAAGGCAGCCAAGGTGCACTATAGCTACAGCTACAGACAGTTATACATATATATATATAAATATATTCTGACATAAACTACATGCGAATGCGATTCATAAATATATTAAAAGTACATAGATTTGACATGCGCATTTGCTGGTGGGGCGCTGGCAGCTCTTGTTTGCGCACTAGCTGCTGCTACTGGCATGCTAGGGGCTGTTGGTGGCGCGCCAGTAGCTACTGCTGGCGCGCTAGCTGCTGCTGGCGCATGCTTGCTGGCGGGTGGCGCTTCGGGTAGGCCGCTAGCTGTGGTTGTGCGCGCTCGTCCGTGCTGCAGCGCGCGCGGGTGCGTGCTGGTGTGCGTGCTGGCGCGGGCTGCAGTGCGCGCTGCTGTTACGCGCCCTGCTGCTGGTGTTATGCGTCCAGCTATGGTGCATGCTACTGCTGCTGCTGTGCGCGCTGTGGCGCGCGCTGCTACGGTGCGCTCTGCAGGGGGGCGCTATGCTGGCGGCGCGCGCTGCTGTTACGCGCCATGCTGTGGCGCGTGCTGCTGCTAAGCACGACGGGCTGTACGGGGCAATAGACGACCTAAGGCGCGACGGGCTGCACGGGGCAACGAGCGGCCTAGGCGCTGGCTGGCTGGATGGCTGGCTAGCTGGCTGGCTGGCTGGCTGAACGGCTGGCTGGTTGGCTAAACGGATGGCTGACTGGCTGGACGGCTGGCTGACTGGCTAAACGGTTGACTAGCTAAACGGCTGGCTGGCTGGACAGCTGGCTAGCTTGCTGGACGGCTGGACGGTTGCATGGCTGTCTGGACGGCGGGATGGCTAGCTGGACGGCTGGCTGGCAGGCTAGACGACACTCTAAGACGTAGGTGGCCCAGGAAAAACCATCTGGTACCATATCGGAATAGCACGTAGCGGAATAGGTTCATTAGCAAGAGTAGCAGTACAAATACTAACCCTAGAAATGGGTTGTACTCCTTAGAGTGCTACCCACTATAGCATAAGAAGCTATTATAACATTTGACATACATGGCTAGCTTGGTTGTCGTTTTTCCTTGTAATCATATATAAACATTTGTATTTCTTTGTAATAGTTACTTCCGTCATTTTACATTCACTCTGACAGGTGTCATCAGTGCTCATTTCTGCTGAAAACTACATGCAATCAATCCTGAAGCAGATAATGGCTAAGGGTACATTCCTGTATCGACACAAGTGTCTCAATGCCGTTTTTCCCGAGTCGCGTCTAAATGTTTAGTCAACTTCGCGTCTCAAAGCGTAGATGTATCGCGACACTGTACGACCAGGTGACATGTATAGTTGGGCGCGTCTGATTGGGTTATTCAAACGGAAGTACACCAAATTTTTCAACCAACGGGCAGGGACACACAACAAATGTGAACATCTTCGCGTAGAAAGAAATATGGGTGGTGAGGTAGGAGGGGGTGTCAGCGGGAAGTTTTTGCGCGTGGCAATGATGACGCGCAGGGTCGCTTTAAAGTCCTTTTTGGGCTGCCTGTCGATGTTTTTGTTCCCGCGTGAAATTGGCAATGTGTGGGGTGTCCAGGTGCATGTGGTCGGGTCGGGCATTTTGAGTCGCGTGCGCATTGTTGACAGTGACGGGTCATCTTGCAACTCGTCCGCGACGTCAGCGTGTTCCACGCTGACCAATGTAAAATGTCAGAATAATCTGTGCAGGAATGATGAATGACTAGCAACAGGGAGATACAAGTATGAAACCCTAACTGGGGTTGTACTCTGTACTGAGCACCTCACTATAGCCTAGCAGAACTAAGAACATACAAATATGTTTTGACACACCCCCCTAGGCAAAGTGAGGGATAGCCAAGACAACAAACAGTCACAAGACCAGTCGGGCAAGAGAACAAAGCAATGCAAAGCCCAAGGTGGATCTCAAGATCACCACGCATTCTGAGCACAAGTAAGCGGCCACAAGGCCAGTTCACATGCAGAGTTATAATAGCAAGGCAGTACACTGATCACAACCTAGCAAGAGTAAACATGTAGGTAGAAATATATATATCAGTGTACAACAAGTGCAAGATCAAGAGACAAGCAGGTGAGGCAGAGTGGGCAGAAGCCCAAGAGCAGTGCAAAAACGCTGATGATCACCAGACCCGAGGGCCTTGGTGAAGACATCAGCAGTGTTGGCCCGAGAGGCCACGTAGGAAAGGCGAAGCTGACGACGCTGCTGCAACTCTCGGGCAAGGAAGTAGCGAAGAGCAATGTGCTTCGTTATGTGCTCCAGTCTCTGCTCGTGACACAAGGCCAGCATGGCCTTGTTGTCGACGTACAAAACTGGAGGAGAACGAGGCCGCTCACCCAAGTCGGTCAGCAGGTAGGTCAGCCAGCGTAGCTCCTGTGCAGCCATAGCCCCAGCGTAGATCTCGGCCTCACAGCTAGAACCAAGCACAGAAGACGAACGAGTGGACCTCCACGAGACAGAGCCAGAGCCAAGACTGAAGGTGTACCCCTGTGACGACCGCTAAGTCGCCTGGTTGTCAGCCCAGGAAGCGTCTGAGTGACCTGTGAGTACCACTGAGTCCCGTCCTCCAAGCACGAGCCCCATGCCCAATGTATCGCACAAGTAACGTGGTACCCTCTTTGCAGCTTCCCAGTGCACCTTTTGGTGTCTACCGGGAGCCACGTAGCGAGCCAGGAGGCTGAGAGGGTACGCGAGGTCAGGTCGTGTGCATGTCATCAGGTACATGAGGCAACCCACTAGCTCTGGATACGGACCACTCAGCTCTACGGACTCATCCGAAGGTGGAGCTGAGAGCGAGTGACCTGTAGGCAGAGGAGTGGGCTGTGGCGAGGACCACGTGAAGCCGAAGCGCTGAAGGACCTGGTGCACCATGTGAGACTCCGTCAGGGTGATGGTGCGGCGTGCTCTGTCCCGGGTCATCTGCAAGCCAAGATAGCTCCGCAGCTCACCCAGGTCAGTGCAGGTGTGTCTCTCCTGCATCTCCGCCTTCACTAGGGCCAGTGCCTCAGTGTCAGCAGTAGCAAAAACCAAGTCGTCGACGTACACGAGAACGTAGAACGGCGGCAGAGAAGTGTCGGTGCGTAGAAACAACGACGGGTCAGCAGAGGAAGGAGCAAACCCAAGAGCCGCAAGTGTCGTCCTCAGTGTGTCGTGCCACTCGCGAGGTGCTTGGCGGAGACCGTAGACTGGCCGCCGGAGGCTCCACTGGGTACCCACTGGAAACGACCCAGTGAAGTCATGTGGGCGGCGCAGCCATATCTCCTCGTGAAGGCTGCCCTGCAAGAAAGCTGTGGAGAAGTTGAGGGAGTGCAGCTCGTAGTTACGCTGTGCTGCAACGTGCAACAAAACCCGAAGAGTAGTCATCTTCGGGGTGGGGGAGAAGGTCTGGAAGAAGTCGACCCCCTGTCGCTGACTGAAGCCTCGAGCAACGTAACGCGCCTTGAAGGCAGGCGGAGAACCTGGCGGCCGCTTCACTCTGAAAATCCACATGCCATCGATTATGTTCGCCCCAGGAGGAGGAATTTCGTCGACATAGGTGCCTGTGGACTTCCAGGAAGCCATCTCTGCGTCCATGGCTGTCTGCCACTGAGAGGAGTACTCACCCGCGATCGCCTCAGCGTAAGAGCGCGGGGTAGGGATGTCAAGTGCATCCGGGTCTCCCTCAGGGCAAAGCAACATGGATGCGAAACGAGGTAAAGCGGCCGCAAGACACTCAAGCTCAAACTGCCTGTCCTCAAGGACGTCACCGCTAAGGGCCGGCTCACCCCCGACGGACGGAGGACAGACAGACTCAGACTGAGTAACAGGACTCGCGACATAGTCGAGACGACTCCTAGCTGCAAAGTCGACTAGCTCAGTGACTAGGGCAAACGCAGCAGTAGACTCAAAGTCAGGGTCAGTGACGACAGTAGCGAGGAGACGAGTGACAGTAGGACTGGCAGCACGAGCAAGGTCGGACTCAGAGTCAGGAACGTGCGGAAGAGAGGACGCGGGAGGCTCAGGCAGGACAACACGCTGTGGAACAGAGGAAGGACGAAGTGCCATACCGTGAGTGCCTGGGACAGCAGGAGGACGAGGACGGGCGACACGACGAGCACGCACAGGTGTGGAAGTACGAGTCTCAGGCTCACGATGCTCAGTCAAGGACTCAGTCACTTCAGTGTGAGGAGCAGGAGCGGGCAGCGGGGAGCCAAGCAGTAGCTGCGGCTGAGACTGGTCTGTCGGTGGACACAGGAGAGGTGGAGTGAGGCTAGTGGAAGACGGGAGACTAAGAACCTGGCGAAGGGCCGAGTCAGGCGGTGGCAGGGACGACTGCGGCTGCGGGTAGAAAAATGGTCGGCTCGGCACAGTACCCGTACCGTCAGCAGCTCCAGCACCTCCAGTACCTCCAGCTCCAGCACCTCCAGTAGCACCTCCAGCACCTCCAGCACCAGCAGCACCACCAGCTACGGCAGCTCCAGCACCTCTAGTACGAGCACCTCTAGGACCAGCAGCTCCAGCACCTCCAGTACCTCCAGTACCACCAGCTCCAGCACCTCCAGTACCTCCAGTACCACCAGCTCTAGTACCTCCAGCACCAGCAGCACCACCAGCTCCGGCAGCTCCAACACCTCTAGTACGAGCACCTCCAGGACCAGCAGCTCTAGCACCTCTAGGGCCTCCAGTACCACCAGCTCCAGCACCTCCAGTACCTCAAGTACCACCAGCTCCGGTGCCTCCGGCACCAGCAGCACCTCCAGCACCAGCAGCTCCAGCACCTCCAGCACCACCAGCTCCAGCAGAACCTCCAGTAGTACCTCCAGCACCACCAGCTCCAGCACCTGCAGCACCTTTAGCAGTACCTCCAGTACCTCCAGCACCTCCAGGACCAGCAGCTCAAGTAGTACCTCCAGCACCAGCAGCTCCAGCGTCTAGGTAACTCCAAGCTCCAGGACCAGAGCGGCCTCTTCGAACGACCCACTCACGAAGCTGCTGCGGTGAGGGTGTCTCGAGTCCACTAGGTGGCTGCTGCTGTCCAACACCAGGACCTGCAGCAGGAGCACCCACGCCCCCTCCACCACTAGGACTCGCAGCACCCCCAGTCTCAGCACCCCCAGAACCCTCACCCCCAGGACCAGCACCCCCAGTCTCAGCACCCCCTGTCTCAGCACCCCCAGTCTCAGCACCCCCAGGACCAGCACCTCCTGCGTCCTCACCCCCAGTGTCACCACCCCCAGCAGCACCAGTGTCCACAGCTACAGGCTGCAGATGTGGTGAAGACGGTCGATGCGGAAAACCAGGAGGGGTCTCCAAGCGTGGAGAGCGACGAGTGGCCGCCGTGTCGTCAGCGACAAGGTCACCCCCCTCAGCCGGGCCAGAGGAGTCAGAAGAGATCTCCAAAGGCTCAACCAAAGGGGGTGGGTCTACCTGAGACACACCTGAGGGAGCAGGACCCTGTGTGTGGGGGGGAGGGGGTCTACCGGGGGGGGGAACTGGTACCAGGAAGAGAGAGGCCAGGGGAACCGGGTGGGACGCGTGCGGGTGGAGCCTGTAGAAACAGACCGAC